AAGCAGATCAATGAGACCATCAACTACAACGAGTACTTTTCCTGGAGCTTCAGTTCAAACTATGACCGCAGCTACAGCGAGGGGCTGGAGAAGGGGTTGCCCAGCCCCATCCTCTACGTGGCAGAGAAGTTCACCTCGCAGAGCCCCTGCGCCGTGCACAGGCAGTACCGCATCTCCGGCCACTACGCCTCGGCCACGCTCTGGTGAGCCTTCCTCTGCTCGTGCAGGCACAGGAGATGCAGGGATGTAGGAAGGGCTCTGAAGCTTTTTCCCTAGGCCTCTGAGGTGGATGGGATTGCATCCTACTAGTAGGAATGCTGTGTGCATGGAGAGGCCCCTGCAAGGCCTGCAGTCAAACTGGTTGCCCTGTAGGCATTTTAGAGTGAGCAGAGAGGAGGTCCTGGTTCTCTCTGCTGGCCAAATCCACCAGGGCTTGGCACAGGAGAGAGGGACATGGTGCAGGTCCTTGCTGTGATGTGGTAGTTATGGCAGAGGTCCAGAGAGGGCCACAGACACATGAAGAACTCTTCCAACTGCTCACTGCTCACTTGGGATGAGGGAAAGCTGTCCCACAGCTGTCAGGATGTGGTCCCTTCCACCATGGCTTGTGGAGGTCAGGGGCCATTGCAGTGCTGTTCTCCCTGCTCTGTGTTTGACAGCAGGGATGCAGAAGCTAAGAAAGTGGCCTGGTGATGATATGAAGCAAAAGCTCCTGGCCCATAACTGAGGACTTCCCCTGTCACCCAGCTCCTCAGCAAAATGCAGAGCTGCTGCCAATGACTTTTGCCTGCTTCTGCATTTATCTCAGTCCTGTGTGTGGCTCTCTGGCCCCATGTGTGGAAGAGCAGGGAGCTGAGATGGTTCAGATACACCAAATGGGCTGCCACGGCCTCCTTCAGACTGATACTGTCTGTGGGCTGAGCAATGCGAAGAGAAAATACATGTTTCTGCCTTCTGGGTGTAGCAGTGTGAGCTCTGCACATCTGTTGACTCAGCCTGGGGATTAGGGATCCCTCCTGCCTGCCCACAGAGCTTCTCCACCTTGTACAATGCACCCTGGAGCCCAGATTCTCTTCCCACATGGAAATCCTCACATAGATCACCTTAGTCCATGGCACTCACATAACTCATCTGTTGGTCTCCTCTTGTCTCCAGGGTGGCCTTTTGCACATGGATCATCTCCAACATTCTCTTCTCCATGCCTGCCCTTGTCTATGGAGGTTACATGCTCCTGGTCACAGGGGCCTTCATGACCTTCTCACTGCTCTCGTTCTCCACTGTGAGGAACTCCCCAATGTGCCTGATCCAGATTGGGGCTGCAACCCTGCATGTAGCCTATGGGGGATCCTTCTGGCTCACCCTAGTGGTTGGTAAGGACACCACGGTGCCCCAGGGTGCACCACCTTGTCCCTCTGGGTGTGAAAGAGTCCCAGTGTTTTCATCCCAGGTGGAAAGTGCAGTCCCCTGGAGCCCCAGCCTGTGCCTTGGCAAAGCAGATCCTGGCCAGAGGTGTGGACAGGAGTGGCAGAAGGGGGAGCACCATTCCCATCTCAAGGGCAGTGAAGGGACTTTTAGTTCCTGAGGTGCAAAGAGATGGGGATCACTTGCCTGGGTTTTAAGATACTCAGTGCAGCTGAAGCCCCCTCGTACAGTGGAAGGCCATCTTCCATAAGCAAAGGCACTGTCCCCTGGCAGGGGACCCTCAGAGGAGGGATGTGGGCTGGGAACTGTGCTGGTGTGCACAGGAACCCTCCCAGAGAGCACGTTTGTTTCCAGGCTTGCTCTGTTTTGTGGCTGGGATCACCGTTGTGGCACTGCACCACCTCAACTTGGACTTGCTGAAAACCTTCTTCGATCTCCGCGAGGACAAAGCTGAGGAGCACCAGGAAATGGCTGAAGTGTATGTCAACTCCTATTTTGTGAACAAGGCACTGGCTCCTCCTCAGCCCTCCGAAACCAACAGCCTCTAGAAGAAAGTTTTCCCCACTCCTTCCCTGAAGGTGAGCCCAAAAGGGCAGAACACAAACCCTTCTTGATGTCCCCACAGGCGCATTACCCTGTTCAACTGCCTTTGAAGGCCACATTCGGACAGGTCCGTGCTGGGAAGTACCTGCACAGACTATCTCCCTGACAGTGCCCTCTGGAAAACGGCAAGCTTTGCTGGCAAGCTGTAATCAGAGCAGCTCACAGCTCTAGAGACTTGAGCTGCACTCACCTGGGGGTCTCTGTGCCAAGAGAAAATCCCTTTCTGCTCTATGCCCTGGCACAGTGGGGAGTAGAAATCTCCAATGGCTGGTTCCCACTGAAAGTGAAAATCTGAGCTGACAGGTGACATTCTTCATGGGGAGCATCCACAACACCCACGACTCCAGGGATTAAACTTGCTCCTTTCTTCCCCAAGCACTGACATTTAGTGTAGAACTTGAGGTGAAGCCAGGAAAACCAGGCCCAGATCCAGGCTCCGCAGGCTGGATGTTGCAGGAGCTGAAATAAAAAAATCTGCTCCAGTAATAATGACTGAGTAAATGTACAATGGAGTTTGCTGGGGAAAATGTGATGGGGGGATTATTTTCACTTTCAGATTTGGGCTTTAATAGACAAGACTTGTAGTCAGGTGTGGGCCAAAAAGATGCCTAAGGAAAGGAGGGAGAAGGAAGAATGAAGTTACCCCTGTCCAGCTGGAGCATACCTGGGCTGTCTGGGCAGCAGGACAGGGGGAGATTCTGCCCCTCTGCCTTGCTCAGGTGAGACTCCACCTGCAGAACTGCCTCCAGCTCTGGAGCCCAACATCAGAAGAACATGTTGCTGCTGGAGCCAGGCCAGAGGAGGCCCTGGAGATACTCTGAGGGTTGTTAAGACCCTTGCTGTTAAGTTACTTATTTCTGTCACACAATATTTGTGTTGCACTAATGTGATTTGTTATGTACGAGAATTATTTTCAATAAAACTTTATTAAAAACCCTCTCATTTGAAACACTGTGGGCATTTGGGGGCTGGTTTCTTAAGAGGGGTTGTGGGGCACATCTGAAGGTGACTTCTGGAGAGCCCCCAGCAACAGCAGCCTTTCCATGGAGAGGATGCCTCAAAGGAAGGACGAGTCTCGCTGGCACGTTTCAAGGTAAGCCACTGAGAAACCTTTGTCCTGAGGAGCAGCATGTTGTGAGGGTGTAAGAGAACCTCAAAAGGACTTTAACTAGCTGAGTGGTGGGACAAAAGCCATAAGATTAAACCAACAAAACTCCCTTAGGCAAGGGAGGATCCTTTCTTGAGAATTTCTTGCATCCAAACATGTCAGGCTTGAAGGCATCAATGGGAAGATGCTACAGCCAACCACAAATTGCTGGGGTTGGTGTGGGACAGATCCCATGACTGTAAGCACAGGAGGCTGAGGGGTTTCCCATCCTTTCTACCACTGCATCTGGCTTTCTCCAACCTTAATCTTCTCCTTTTGGGCATGGTTCCTCCTCAAGAGCATCCTCACCAGAAAGAAAAGTTTGTGCTGTTGCATCAGACATACAAGGGTATGAGAGGAGAGGCTTAGGAGGGTTGAATTTCTACTGAATAAATTAGAGGGGTTTGTTGTGCCTTGGATCTAGTCCATCTGTAGGCTGAACCATCTCCTGGTAGAAACCATTGTGAACATCCTGCCCTGAGGTCTCCCAAGCCTAAGGAGTTCAGCTCCAAACAGTTTTGAGTTCTCTAGGTTCTCGTTGAAGGCTCTTCCATCCGGAGTGGGATGTGTCATGGCTGAGCACCTCCTCCCCAGAGGTCCTGCCCCATGATGATCCCTCTGCAAAATCCTCTGCTGGGCTAGACATCACTCCCATCAAACCTTCCAGATGCCTGGGGTCACTCCAGGAGCTAAAGTCCCTCCATATCCCCCCTGCTTGTTTGCCTGGGGATGTCCTGATACCCTGCTAAGGGCATATTGATTGGACTTTATTGCCCTGAACCAACCGGCTGTAGTTGGATGCCCCATACAGGACCACTAAAGGGCTCTGCCTTTTCCTTCTCCCTTCCCTGTGGCTGCCTTCAGCCCTCAGAGGGACACTTCTATCAAAAGACAAGTGAAAGGCCAGGTCCAACTTATTTTACTGAGATACAGGGAAAATAAGTGAGCACAAAAGAGAAAAAAAAGAAGTTGTGAAATCTGCACAGGGGAAAAGGAGTGCAAACCTGCAGTGTGTTCCCTCCCTCCCTGCGTGGGCAAGGTGCCAGCAGCCAGGACTGGGTGGCTGCATCCACCTTGGGTGTGCAGAATTCCAGTGTCTCATGCCCCATGACATGAGTGTTTCCACAGCTGAGCAGCAGGAACACAGGCCTCCCAGACCAGAGGTGCTGCTCCCCTGTCACTGGTTGGTTACAGCTGATCTCCGAGGCACTGTAGCACCTCTGTTCCCACCTTCTCCTCTCCCTCCCTCCCACCTGATCTGAGACCTCCAGCATCCTGCTAAATCATGGTCCTCCTTGCCATCCTGCCCTTCACCCCAAGAGGAGACGCTGGATACAAGGCACCCTGATGAGCACAGTTCCACCTGTACTTCCTGACCGCTGACGGGGAGAGCATCCCTGGGCAGACGGGATTTCTTGGGGGTCTTCAGGGTGGAGGTACTGTTGCAGGGGCTCTACTTCTCCTTTGGTTCATATCAGTGAGTCTGCAGTTACTTGGTTTCTCCCCGGTTTGTTCTGGTTTGATCTCTGTACCCTGGGGAGGACTCAGGCTTTGTTGGGAGGGACTAAGGGGAAGGGCAGTAGCCCAGTGCCTGGAACTGGACAGCCAAGGTTGGGGCATGGGTTCTCCTCACGACAAAATTTCTTCCAGCTGCTGCTGAGTAAAACAACAGGGGAAAAAAAAAGAAAAGGACAAACTCTTTTATTTGAGACATCTTTCCAGATTTGGACATTCTCATCACACGGCACTTGTCGTGTCTCTGGGCTCCTGCTGGATTTGGTGAATTCAGGAGCAGTGTCCTCAGGCCTTGCCCTGCCTCCCCCATGGTTCACAGCTGGGTGGCTGTCACCTCGGAGAGCTCGGCCGGTGGGACCATCCACACGTCCTGCACGGAGCAGCTGGGCTCGGCCAGCAGGCAGGGCTTGTCCCACACCTCCTCTGCTCCCTTTTTCTTGTCCAGGTTAAAGATGAGCTTCAGCTTCTCCGGCTCCATGGAGTTCAGGATGATGACACCCAAACCCAGCAGCAGGCACAGCAGCCCTGCCATGCACAGCACAGGGACACATTAACACCTCCTCCCAATGTATCCCAGCTCCATCCAGATCCAGGCGGAGGATGGCGACATGTGGCATCACCTGGTAGGTCTAGGGAAGGTGTTATTTCCCTTTCCACATCTGGATTCTGACATCAGTCTGGGCTCTCCCATAAAAAAAGGGGGGTCAGTGAATTAGGGCAGAGAGTTAGGGCTGGAGCTGGGGAAAGGCTGGAGGAGCTGGGCTTGTTTAGCCTGAAAAAGAGGAGTGTCCAGGGGAACTTAGTTGCCATCTGTCCTTGGAGGTGTTATAACATGGGAAATTCTGGTTTGATGAAAGGAAATAATTGCTCCCCATGAGTGGGACTGCTGTGGGGCAGGTTCTGAAAGCAGAGGGAATCTCTGTCTGTGGGGACATCCACCAACAGATTGAATAAGGCTGGTGTGGCTTTGAGGTTATCCCTGTTGTGGGAGAGGGACCCCTGAGGGTCCTTCCAGGCCAGGTCTTTCCCTGACTCTACAATTCCTGACTGTCACGCTCTCCTCTGGGCACACCTCCAGCAGATAACTTCAGCCATTCATATCTCTTGACTGCTCATCTCTTTCCCCCCCAACCTTGGGGGAAAAAAATCTTTTATGCCCTTAAAAAAAGAAAAAAGTAATTTTCTGTGACCCAGACATGGAGACAGAAGGGGTGAAGTCCTGTTGAAACATCACTGCAGGGATGGAGAAGAAAAGCCCCTGGGGCCAGCTGAGCACTCACCTGTCACTAATGTCAGCCAGAAGGATTCACCATAGTCTGTTTTCAAGGAAACTGGGCCAAACCAGATGGGGCACTTGGGGGTGTTCCTCGCAGTGAAGAAGAAGAGCAGTGAGAAGAGGATCAGTGCAGCAGTGAGCAAAAGCATGTAACCACCGTGGAGCAGGATGGACATGGAGAATAGCAAGATGGAAATGAGCCACGTGCAGAAAGCCAACCTGTGAAAGGACCATAAAACCAAGTAGGAAGCATCCTGGGATGAATGTTTGGAGAATCCACTCAGGGCCTCCTCTCCACTTCCCAAGGGAGGGACACAGCACTGGGCAACCTGCTCTAGCTGGCCTTGCTTCGGCAGGTGGGCTGGGCAGGCTGATCAGAGGACACCCATTACAACCCAAACAATTCTGTACCTACATGAATGATGGAGCTGTGGGACAGGTCCAGCAGTGGTGGAGAGGGATCTCTACACCTGGGAACATTCAGTGTTGAACTTCGCAAAGCCCCAAGCACCTGGATATGGCTTTGACATCAGCTCTGCTCTGGGTGTGGGACTGGAGTAGAAATCTCTGGACATCCCTCCAAATTAACTTTTTTTTTCGATTCTTGTGATCATCCACAACTGGCCACCCCCAGGCAGTTCTTACCTGTTCAGAGGGCCAATGGCACCAAGGGACACCTTTGTCTGGAGAACTGCACCTTAAGCCATGCCCACAGCTGATTCAGCACCTGGAGTGAACCCAGCTGCCAGCCCTGCCCTGTGTGTGAGGTTTGGGTTTAGCCCACTGGGGAGATGAGCCTAACAGCTCAGTTTTTCTTATTCCAAGAATAATAATGAAAAACAAATTTTCATCAGCATTCCTTCCTTGAAATACTCCTCCTCAATAACAGGAATGTTTGGGCAGGGATATTTATTCTTCCTGAAAATAAAACAGGAGATGTAGACGGGGACCCGGAGCCCTTCCCCATAGGGAGAATTGCAAGGCTCACTCTTTCCTCACTCTTTCCCACCACCTCTGAGGCACATGGGGGTGCTACGAGACTCCACGATCACAAAACACACAAGGGCTCTCAGCTTTGCACCACAGGACAGCCTCTGAGCACCCTCGTGTTGGTCCCTCCTGCTTCCCACAGGCAGGTCTCATGCCCTCTTGGGCGTGCAAGAGGAAACCCTTCACAGCTGGTCTTACTGGGGCTCCTTGTCTTAGTCCTTGGGAGAGGATCCTGAACTATAAGCCTCACAGCTGCATCTGTTTTCCCTTAAATGAAGAATAATTTTTCTCTGATCATAATTTTGTACATCAGGACAGAGGACACAGAAAAGGACTCCAGAGAGATGGGTAAAAGTTGCCCCTCTGCTCTGGAGCCAGGCTGGGAGAGATGGGGGTATTCAGCTGGAGAAGACAAGGCTCCAGGGAGACCTTAGAATCCCTTCCAGTGTCTAAAGGGGCTCCAAGAGAGCTGGAGAGGGAATTTGGACAATGGCCTGGAGGGACAGGCCAAGGGGGAATGGCTTCCCACTGTCAGAGGGCAGGGTTAGATGGGATAGTGGGAGGCAATTGTTG